TAACATAGCACATAAGCTTCTTTCCATCCGAGCGAAGCCGCTGGCAGTAGCTAGTTGAAATATAAATGAACAAATCCTATTAATATTTACGTCATAAAAGTACATAATCGATCGATTTCTCACCGCATAATCACAAAATAAACTATCGACCAACATAAACAGCTGCCGATTCCCCATTAAAGCCCATCACTTTAAATGTTATGGGGACAGTAATAAACACTAAATGAGTTTTACGAGTAAATGTCCCGTAAACGACGAAATACTGACGATCGAAAACGCATTGTAACGTAAAAGGAACATTCTAGAAAGGGTAAAAACTGGATCCTAAATCCATTCAACGTTTGAGAAATCGTAAAACGTTTGTCGTTTAAGTGTTAAGGAATTAATGATATTTATTACACAGTTTAATCGGTCGTTTTATTTTCATTGGCTTTTTTGGGACGAAATAATACTTAAAATGAGTTAAATTTTTCGTCGACTAAACTTAGAACGTGATATTTTGTTAGGTCAGATGTAGTTTCAATTTACAACTTTGGCAACGTGCATTTCGTTTTATGAGAAACGCACCGTTTAAAGGTTACACGTATTTTCTTGTAGGAAGTTATGAAATAACACGAAATGTATTCGCATGAGTATTATGCCAATTAGTGCGGTATTCGTTTACGTTTTGAATCTGTGTCACAACTTCTACATGTGCTGAGTGTATTTCAATGTAAATTCTATTCTTCGCTCAGCGCGACGCAATCACGTTTGCGTTTCAGGTGTTCTGGTCTAAGCTATATATCTTTATTCACGTATTTTGTATCATTTCCTAAGTAAGAGAATTAATTTTTATAACTGTACAACAAATGAAATGATTGGAGAAAAATCTATGAATAACTAATGCATTTTCCAAAATAAACGAGGAGTGTAAAATCTAATCACACCCAATATTTACATCAATCACATTTGACAAGAACACCAACACAACTTTCCTGCTCTATGCTTGCTAGATCGATCGCCTAAAATGTTTGTTTTAGGGGAAATGGGCAAAATTGATCGATGACTTTACAAACTTTTGCAAGTCTTTAACAGAGTTCCGAAGAGTTCCGTTAAATAATGAAATATGGATGTTTTGCACAACTTTAATGCTAGGATTTAGTCCGGTACTGACTTAGATCCATGTATATAAAAATGTACGTGGTGTTCTATAAATCATTTTCTTTTAATGGGCGTTCAGAAACTCGTAATTGTTGTGTATGACTTGTTGATTTATGACGTGTTTAAGTTGTTATTCGTCTTTTTTTCTTCGAAGGGGAATGTGACTCAACCTTATAAAACTCATTACATACACGTTGTATGTACTGAGTTTAATAAGGTTGAGTATTACAAATAACTTGCCTTTCAGGATCACCATGGTAACTGAGTTATAGTCACTACTATTACTAAAACTATGGACCCAAACCCAAATCATTCGAACTCGAACTTCAATCAAAATATCTTCTCGTACTGCACGGTCGAAAAATAAACTTTCTTTTTTAAACAAGTAAATGCACTACCAATTACTGCTCCATGATATTGTGCAACGGGCACGTGGTAGTAGAGTTATTCAACCGTGAGATAGGGGGCGCTTCTCACGCAAATTGCGTCCGGGAAAGCCGCGCGTGCGTCAGTGACGTCATAATACAACATGGCGCACGCATGTTTCATGTTGACAACATCTGTTGTTATTGTTGTGGAAATTGTATGAGTTGTGTCACTTATCATGTACGTTGTAGTTTCCAGTTACTAGTTATATTGTGTATAAATTGGTTCTTTAGATTTTAAACTTTTGCTTTTGAACGTTTCTGTACCCACTTTGGTTTTTTTTTATTTTATTTTTTATTTATTTATCATTTTTACAAATATTACAGGAACATTTATGTTAAATAGCAACCAAAAAACCACTAAGGTTTAAACTTGTGCTATCATGAATCATCTCAAATCGAAAAAAAAAATTAGTTACAGTTTTATAATTAAGTTAGGTTTAACTCGTATGTTGCCTAATATGACCTACGTATAATTTGAATAGTAATAATTCAGAGAGAGAGAGAGATAGAAATATGGAAAACGTAATACATAATGTATACATAAGAAAAACGGATATAATACATAACTAAGGAAAATTTTTAAATGTCACATGTGGAATGTCAATTTTCATTTTGAATGTAAAAGCGATTTTGTGTATCAAATTATGACCATTATTGGGTTTAACAAATGATGGAGGCTTACTAATATGCCAACATCAAATCAAGAATCTGTGACCGACCTCAATGTCATGATTACGATGATAAGAATAGCATAGCCCAGAATTGGAGATCAGGTTCACACGGCTACACATATCATGGTCTCGCTTTTTGTGACCTTTCGACACATTCAACGGTCAATCCTGGCTTATACAGCTTGACATGTAGCCGTGTATACCAAGGATACAGTGGTTATTTTATTATTGTACTATTCTCAATTACACATCATGGTACTAGGACTCACTTCTTTTGATTTGTTATAAACAGAGACTCAATAGTGTCACAATAGTTTTTTTATGGTATAAGTCGGCAACCGAGCATACCATACATACGTATTACCTGATGGTAAGCAATCAGCGCCGCCCATGGACACCCGCAACGCCCAAAGGAGTAATTAATAGGTACGTTGCCGTTCTTTTAGGGATAAAGATTTCGGGTATTTAAGGATTGGGAAGGAATGGAGGCAGCGGGAGGGAATGGGCCTCCGGTAACCTCACTCACACTGCGAAACAACGATGTGGTTGTTTCACGCTGGATTTCTGTGAGGCCGTTAAATGCCATAATAGTGTCAGAATATTCCAGAAAGCATAAGAACTTTATTGATATATACAGATAATACTTAACCCTTTGCAACCGGGAGTAAAAAAACTCGCATAGATCAGTAAAAACTTAGTTATCGTTTGGAAAGTGTTCAGAGACCCTGGAAAAAATACTGAAAAAAATCTCACGCAAGCTGGTCTTCAGCAATCAGACCCTCACATACGTGAGGTTCAGGAATAATTTGCAAGTCGCACGATCGTGACTTTATGTAAATAATCAATGATTAAGAACGAATTAATGATATAATTATTATCAATTAAAATAAAATATGATTATTTCAGTTTTCTTACAACTTTAATCAGTCTTTATTACAAAATAAACTAAATGAGTATTTATAAAATCACGAGTAAAAAATGAGATCTTCTTAATTTTTTAAATTAGAACAAAAATAAACAATGTTACTACTTAATAATCAACAAAATCTTAATTTTTAGTCACTACTAGCAATGAGATCGACTTAATTATTGTGTACACAAATGATATGTTTTAAAACAATTTTTATCACGAGATAAACATAGATAGACATCGCATTTTTCACACCTAATTTTTGAACGACTGCTGCAAGTTTCCAATCTACAGGTCCTTGGCGCTTTTATGTCATCGCTGGTTGGAAAATGCTCATATCCATCATATCGTTTCTCTGCCGACGGTCTGGTTGCTGGTCTATATATTTTATAGTCTCGACGCGGAACTGTTGACTGATCTTCATCTTCACTATCCCTTCGAGCTCTACTTGGTGTAGAAGATAAAGCATCCGCCACATCCAAGCGAAAATCCAGTAAAGGCTTTGTGTCTTTCCTTGCATAATTATTACTGTGGCAGTCGATTCTATACAGCCTCCAAGAGTTTGTTAGCGCGAGGTCAAAAAAATGCGTCAATACTTTTAGGGTCCATTTTTTGGTTTTAATAAATGTTCGATAATACTCCATTTGTTGATCCAGTACATCTACTCCTCCCATGTGTTGGTTATAATTTTTTACTATTATTGGAGCAGTTACATCGACGTATCGTTTCATAGTTTTATCCCACCTTTTTACGAGAGTGGTTGCACCGGAGCCAGTACAGTTTGATGCGAGTAATACGGATTTATTATCTTTCCACTTTACAATGGTAGTAGGTTCACAAACAAATTGTTGGCTTTCTCCACGAGTCATTTGAACATCCGTTTTAAATTTTATTGTAGCTCGGTCAGGGATACGATTTAACATTATTGTCCCTGTAGAATGCAGATTTAACTTGTTCATTTCTTCAATTAAAGGTACTGTGGTGAAATATCTGTCGTGATACACACAACTACCGGGGGGAATACTTTTAGATAAATGTAGGATTACCGAAGGACCGAGGCCGAGATTCGTATCACCAAACATCGTCTTTGCACCTCTGTATATGTCGAAATCCAACATCAATCCCTCACTAGTTGTCAGGACAAAGTTTTTAAACCCTACAGGCCTAGGTTTGTTTTTCACTACCTGACGTAGTTGACAGCGGCCTGTAAATGGTATCATCTGCTCATCGATTGAGTAAAATCCCGGCACCCTTTCTAATTTATTACAAGCACGTTTAATTTGATTGATCATGGGTTGAACCTTCCATAGTGGATTACCAATTTCAGATGGAGGTGGAGAATCTGAATCAACTACGTGTAGTGCATTACGCAGGGTTAAAAACCTGTCCCGTGACATTAAACTGCCGATAATTTCCAACCTAGTACCAGCCCTCCAATACATAGGCAGTCGGGGATAAGGAAGACATCCCATGAGTATTTGTATTGCAATAAGCTTCGCGATCTCACTGCTTGAACTTTTCAATTCACGGCCTGTAGTACGTAAGTAATATAAGTTAGTACAGTGTGATAACCTTTCTATGAACTCGTTGTCTATGTAGTCACGAAAGTACTCGATGGGACGCCTTACCGGTTTTGTAGGCAACGGAAGATAGTTGTGCAGTTTATCTACAAATGGAACCTGCTTCCATATTCTTTTCCTAATACTTGGTGTTGATGCCGATCTTTGTCCTCGAGAACGTGATGCTGTCACAGTTCTTCTTTCCTGAATACTGGTGGTTGATCTCGAACGTTCAGAGGATAAATTTACTGACCTTAGTCGATGTAAAGGACGACGAGACGTAGATGATAACGATGGGCAAGGCGACTGCATTGTTGATGGAGATTCAGTCGTTGTTGGAGGAAAATGTTGCGTCATTAATGGAGCAGAAGGTTGCGGTATCACTGGTGAACATATCAATGGTGATAATTGGTGACTAATTTCTTCATCTTCATTAGGAATATCACCATCGGAGAGATCTTCGCATGCCAATTGATCAAACAGATTATTTGGTTCAAAATCCAAGTCATCGTCGCTAAAATCTTCAATCTCCGATACATTTCCGTCCAACAATTGTTCAAATATTGCATCATCCGTAAGTCGAGCCCCTAAAACAAAAGAAAAATCAATTTTAATACCATATAGAATCCAAATAACTATTACAACACAAAACAAAAAAAATGATATAATATCACGTACTACGACCGATATTGCATGATCGTGCGTGTTTAATTTTGACGATAAATAATTCCGAAACTAATACTTTCATTTGCAAAAACTTGATGATTATATCTACAGAAACTCGTATTTAATCAAAAAACATCAAATAAATATAAATAATACAATAGAACTACTAAAAATTGATGTACTTACGTGCGGAGGCGCCGGGATTAAAAGACGCAGCCATCCCTCATGCGAGTTTCGACGAACTGGCAGGACGAAACGTGTGCACAAAGTGCAAAACTATTTTTTGTCTCATTCTTTGCTTAATAATTGCTAAATAATTTGCTTAGAATTTTGTAAAGTCGAAACTCACGATCGTTTTAACTCGGTTGGAAAGGGTTATACAACTATTTCCATTTGTAAGCAGATTATAAATCAAGTAAGAAAAGTTGGACACCTAACATTTTTCAATCATCGCTACACATAATGCTAAAGTATTTTGGCATCATTTATGTAAACAGCCTATTTTTTATTTATTTTATTTATTTTTATGTGAGATCATAAGAATAAATTGTAAGAATTTGTCATATTAGTTTGACAAAGTACTAAGTGAATTGTTTGCAAAACTTGTCAAAGTCGAGTTATTAGAGTTTATGTTTTGTTCGTAACGGCGCTAGTGTAGTTTTAAGGCCCCATACATTAAGAATTAGTTATTTTTGCAGTTTACAGCTTTGGACGGACTAGACCTGACTCTTATAGGCGTGCAAAAGACATTACGGTTACACAACGATCCAAAGACCAACTACAATAGTCTAAAAGTATCGACTTCAAATTGATCATGAAGGAGTCCTTTCAAGACTTTACAAAAGTTCCAATCACTTCCGAATTTTACCGAATATTTCCGAAGTCGTTTAGCATTCGTTCAGCGCTCGGATAAAATATATGGACATCAGATCAGATTCGATAGGGAGCAAATAAAGTGCTTTTAATTTATGAACTGGTACGTGCCTCGAATATTTTGTATATGCTGCTGAAGTGTCTTTGACTGAGCGAACTGTCTTATTGGATTGAATGATGAATTCGTTTCAAAGCGAACTTTTATTTGGAACTGGGTTAATGTGATTAGTGGAATCTAGGTCTTATTTTTATTGAAATGTGGTGCATGCGTGGATATAATTTTTTGCTTGGAAGTTTTAATTAAAAAATTGAATGAGAAAACATATTTAAATAAGCTGGTATTTATTTGACAGTTCTTTTTTTGATAAATGCAATGTTTTTACTTAAATAAATAGGTGCTGAGATGTTTATCTGTGTCTAAAATTTTACGAATATTTTAACAGTCAGTAAGAAATAGAAATGAAACTTATTTGTTTAGACCTAAAATGCTCTAAACAAATAAGTTTTATTTTGACTCTAATATTATAAACAACGTTAAATTGTATTTACATTTTTATAATGTTAATGTTAGTTTTAACATATACATAAAGTATTCAATGCCCCAAATACAAATTTTACCACACCAAATTCTGCGCAATATGGACATCAAATCAATTAACTAAATATAAATTAACACCCACCTTGTAATTTCCATCGCAATAAACGTCAGACTATTATTTTAAGTGGATAAATAATATATTTAATGTTATTGGTTAACCAATATATCTAGTAAATTTATAAAGCATCAATTAATGTATTTAACAAATGTTTGTTTATCGTTAATAAACTCGCATGTTGCGTATAATGGCAATTCATCAAATATTTTTGTTATGTGAGAATACCTTCCATAGTAGCTTAGCTTTTTGAAGTCTCTGAAGTGTGTGTCTAGCTAAGATCTGCCATTTTTGAGGTGGGAAATTGTCCAGTGACTCTTCCCACTTTGGTTGAGGCGACTGGGAGACTCAAATTTTTATTGGCTTAAAATGACTCCGTTCCATTTTCGTTTTCATCGTTGCGCTTGGCCTGCTATTTCAAACTGCCACTATAACCTCACTATAACCTACCTTGTCATCGCCATCAGCACCTATAACCAGGCACCAAGTCCACTTTATAAACCAAATTTAGAGCTGCTGTGTGGAAAGCTTAATTGCTGATACGGCATACCCCTAACAATAGAGATGCTCCTATGTTAGGTCAAAATGTTTTAGCAAAAAGTTATCCTCTTCGACGACACCTCCTTGTTCAAAACTGCTTATAACTGTCCAGTACCTACATAAAAATAAAGTTTTCTAAACAAACAAAAGCTAAAAACTTTAACATAAAAAAAACCCGTGATGTGATATTTGAATAGTTGGCCCATAGTTGTCCTTGAAAGCAGAACACGGATGTCCCATAACTCCATAAGTGAATTCGGTCATCGCAAATGTGAACTTTTTAATTCACCCCAAGACAAGTGACTTTGACAGATCAACTTTATTTTTCTTACAATGCCAAAGTTTCAGCATTTTAATGGATTCGCGAAACAATAACAGACCGAGTGTATTGGGTATTATTTTAACGTTAAAAGGTGAAGAATGTCATTTAATTTGGTCTTCACTTCCAAGAATTAGCTTTTTAGTTTTCTCTCGAGTATTATACGTAAGAGAGACTAGTTAATTACCTTTTTATTGTTTTGATGCAGACTTTATTTTTTTCTTTCTCATGCCTTTAAGTAGATATTACAATCAACAATTATGTTACTTATAAGTACTAGTAAGGAAAACTGTCAGAAAAGTAAAAACATTTTTTTTTTAACGGACATTGCTCTGATATCTTCTTCTGTGTCATGGGTGCGTTTAAAAACAAACAATTTCACATACACAGCAAACCTAGACACTGAACAACAATTTGTGGATCACACAAAGAGTTCTTCCGTGCGGGAATCGAAACCGCGGCATGTTGCGCGGCCGCCAGTCGCCCAGTCACTGCGCCAACCGTGCAGTAAATTTTAAAAATTATAACACAGTACAAGTTATTTGTAAAACGATTCCCATTTTTTTTAAAGAGATAAGTTATAGTAGTTTTGTATGTCATCCTCGTCTTCATCAAAAACAATATTATGGTTGAACTATTGTAAAATTACGCGCAGAAATTGTCTGTATTGGACCTACTTCTCAGAATTCTCTAGACGAGCGAAACGAAGATTGAAATCGCCAATGAAAATAGTTAACAAACAAACAACGTAACGAATCCAAAATAATTTTGAAAAGGGTGAGAAGAGATGTAACTGTGCCTTGTTAGCTCAGAATTCGCCAAAATTCCAAGAAGTAAGTAAGAAACAATTGACGACAATATTTTATTAGATAACTTTTTGATAATTGTTTATGTCGTAATAATTCCTAATTGGAGTTATAGGGCCTGAAGTGTGGTAGAACCATGATTCGGCACGAACGGAGTGATACCACTGCCTCACAGAAAACTGGCGTGAAGCAAAACTTACTTTGGGTTTCGCAATGTCAGTGAGGTTACCAGAGGCCCAATTCCCCTCGGCCCCCATCGTCTATCCTCAAATCCCCTATCCGTAAATCCCTTACAACCCACAAGAGGCCTCCAACGCACTTGTATTCCTTCAGTATGACGAGTGTCCATGGGTGGCGACGATTGCTTACCTTCAGGTAACTCGTCTGCTCGTTTGCCGACCTACGACATAAAAAAAATCCCATAAAAATGAACTACCGAGCACTCTAAAACAGTATAAGCCTAGGTCAAACCTACAGGGACCATTAAATCTACCGCAAAACCTTTCAAAGCCATAAAATTATAGTCTGAAACCACCACTTTCATTATAATGTCTAGCTTTAAAACTCTAGGTTTAATGGAAAGCCCAATAAATAACAGTAAACACAAACTATCCTGTGGTTAAGCAACCGGTTAGTTAATAATTACCATAATGTAACACGTAATCCAGTAAACCTTAATTACGGGGATAGGTTAAATATTGCCTCATTTAATTTACTGTTTACTGTTGCGTGTCATATCTGTTTGTTTAACTTCGTCGTGGTGTTTATGGTTTTGAGTGATGGTTCAATTTTGTAATTGAATTTGTTATGTTTGTATCTCCAGTAATGTTTAATTATAATAATAATTAAAGTATGTAATTTAATTTGTATCTCCAGAAATATAAGAATTAAAGCGTCGATGGAAACCTGACATACCGTCAAAAATTAGAATTTTCAAATGTTGGAGCTAATCATGAAATGTTTGAGTATGGCAGTAATAGGTAGATAAGTCTTTGTACAAATGTACAATAGCTAAGTATTAACTAAGCAAACTTAAATAATTAAAGGTATAGGTAATATATTGGTGGCCGTCTCATGTTTTTTAATGTAAGGATCAAGGGTTTGTTTTAAAATCATCGTTTTTGCCAATAAACATTGTTACTGTTTGACATCAAGAAACTGTGTATTATCTGCACCTGGAAAGTTTGACATGGGATCCAATCACGAGTTTCTTATCGATCTCAATGGAATGCTTTTTAAGTTCTGACTTCCGAAGATTCGATATACTATTGAAGTATAGTTGGGAAAACAAAATTCACATACATACTACATAATCGTCATCGCCTGTCAAACTTTATACAGCGGAACACCAAATTGCCTGCAATTCTGACTTGCCCCTTTCGCTTCTTATCATAAATGTCTTCATGCAATCTCGTCAATCAAGAGCCATTGCTACTTAAACTCTCTTAAAAAAGAAGTCAATAATATTATTCAAAAATAATGCTTTTATTTGACTTCTACTTCACCTGCTAAAGAACAATTAATAAGTATGAACCGAAATGAAAACTGAACGTATTGAACAATCTAGGACCAAACTAATTGCTATCTAAATGATTACTGTTGCGCATTCCACGCCATGTTAATAATCCTGGCTTTCAATGCTACCAACAATCCAGCTCAACACACGTTCGTTGCATACATATGAAACGTAATCAGCATCGGAATTTCTGATACTGTTCCCGATAGCTCAACGTACATCATTCACTTGTATATACATACAATTCTATTATTGTGGGGCTTTTATAATGAAGTTAGATTTTAATCGTAGAAAATTTGATGACAATAGGTATGTATACCTTGTGCTTCCATGGTACTAAAGTAATGTGAAAATTCTCAACGTCAAACTCTTCATACATAGATATCCAAATCCAGAAATTAAATCGTATATATATTTGTCCATTTTTAGTTAATTGTAAAAAAAAAACATTTATTCCACGTACTGAACATTAAAACAACAATTACTTATTACAAATAAATTGCTCACAAAAAC